AAATGTACACCTTACTACATCGACTCTCCCAAATATTCTAGTCCATTTCCTCGTCCGTAATTTTGACTTCAATCAAAATATGCTGCCAATATGGCATTTTATTTCTTACATCCAAATTCTCCACTCAACCATGACCCTCCGACTGAAATGCTCTATCAATCATTTAAGTCCTCATTCCAGAACGTCCATTTTGTCTCTTTCTGGTTGTCGATTCCGTCCGTCTTCTACTTCGAACGTCTCCATGACATCAAAAACATTGTCAACCTGTGTTTTTATCGCGGATGACATGTATACACATATCATCCTTATGCCAATTATGGACGAAATATCATCTCTAATTGCGGCTGGTTACAGTAATTGTTTCATTATTTAGGAGGGACATATCTGAAGGGCGAAAAATGGTTGATGTGTACCTAATGTAAAATAAAAGTGTGCCGCGTAACTTGTTTTATTTTGAGCGTATATGTGCATTTTTTAGATTAATTCACAATTTTCTTCAGATAGATAAAAAGTAATATATGAAAAAACAAGCTATCAAACAATAATTAAAGAAAGAAATTTGGTCGTATGTTATGAAAAACTTTAGTATGTATTCGGAATCACATTTTTGAAAATTATTTTCTCTACTGATGAACACAAGTGCATTGATTACAAAAATATGCAAATGCAACATTCCAGATTTAGTAACAGATTTAAATCTTAAAGTTACCTGAAACATACCTATTTAAATAATGATAATAAATAATAAATTAATAATAAATAATAATAAATTAATAATAAATAACAATAAATTAATAATAAATAACAATAAATTAATAATAAATAACAATAAATTAATAATGAATAACAATAAATTAATAATAATAAATAACAATAATAATGTTTCTCTTTGTATTAAGCATCAGACGATTTGAAATTCTCCTGCAGATCATACGTGCGTTTGATAGATCTGTTAAGAAATGGATAGTTTACATTAGCTATCGAATGTCGTAAATGTCAACGATTGTTTCAGAGTAGATAAACAATTTATTTCCATCTGACTCAGCGATCACTTACATCACATTGCCAGATCGCGTTCGGGTAACGGTGATTTCAACGCCCTTGACATCCACGAAAACACAGCATCAATGAAAACCCGTTGTCAGAGTTACAATGGAGGCTGACTAACCAAGAAACGACGACAATGGCAATGATATGAACGGCGATAACGACAAACTCTGACAGAAATTGTATCTTTAATATGTATGAACATGGCAAAACACGCTGCTATCAGGACATCAATCTCGGAAGCCGTCATGGCGGAGGATTTCAAGTTCACGCAGGTAAGCAGCGAGATTGTGTCGACAAGGTAATCCAACTGGCAAGAAGTATGCCCGAATTGCCCCGGTCTGTTTTAACTCTACGTTTGCGATAATGACTCCACTTAATTGTCGTGTAAACTAAATGTTCTTCGCGCTCTCTTTCTAATACCGCGAAGGTGATAGCCTCGAGATACAGCTGTTCACCATTCCTCGTTTCACCACCTGAGACGGTCAGGCCGTCCAATCCTAGAGGACATTGGGGCCTTCCGCACGTAGTATCTCTCTCCGCACAGAAGCGGTTTCGAAAAAGTCAACTAGAAATGATGCAATGGTGTCCACCGATATATTCATTATGCTATTTTATTTATTTTTCACCATTACACTCGTCCATCAAGAAATGAAAACACCAAACACTACAATCATGTGAAACACACGAGGTATTTCTTGATTACGCACCTTGATCGCTTAACATAAACTTGTCACAGATCTGACTCTGTGACCATATCCAGACCTTTGGTTTCAGTTCGGACGTGATGGAAGGAAGCTAAGGACCTTTGACACCTGCGTCCGCAACACAGCAATGCACTACTCACACCTTTGCAAAAATGTTTCTAAGATCACAAAACCTTTTTAAATTCTGCCCCAATATCTGAACATCATAAGTCATATTGTCTACAAGAGGAGAAGAAATAATTAATTAACTGCCGAATTTAGAAGCGTGCAAAACGGTTTTAAGAAAACTTAATTGTGAGCGGTATAAAACATACGTTTAGCGAAACACGTCAGTGTTAATGCAACATAAGGACTGTTCACTTGTCTGAAATATTAAGTCATTTTTATGAAATAAACTTGACAAGTTTGTCAATATGTTACATGGAATATGATCTAACCCTTGAGCAGTGTGCATTTGAAAAGTGAAGTTCGTTTTCATAGTTTCGCTCAGCTACACTACATGCAGTGTTATCAATTTGAAAAATAATTCTAATGTGATTCGTTATATATTAAGATATATATGTGTATACAACGTGTTTTAAATTACTTGAAATTGAAATCGTTAACCTTTAGGTGTAAAATAATTGCAGATTTGGCATTAACATATCGCGTTCATTCAAAAAGGGGGATGCATTCCATCAACGTTACTTTTCTCTTTTCCCAGAACTCCTGTTACATTTGAACAACAGCCTCCACACTATTTTACACTGCAAGACTACTCATCAATCAATCTCTTTCATTCATTAATGAAGTTTCAATAAATAAACATTTAAATTCCGGCGCCGGTAGCCGCAGCGTCGATGTTTAACCACGCCCTGTGAAGTCACATAGGTTAACAATTCGCGACATAACGGGTTCCTGGATGGGTGACAGTCTAGAAATCCCAGAGATATAATGGCGCCGAGCCCCAGGCAGAAGGAATAAAAATACTCTGATAACTGACCAGCTTGACCGAATATTACTCCACGTTCGATGTCAGAACGAATGGTTAAGGACAAAACTCGTGACAATTAAAAAAAAAAAAAAACTTATATGAGTATTACATCTTAAGCATTCTCGAATCTCAGAAACTAAATCTGTCAACGGGACCATCTCGGGCCTCTTCTAAAGCTGAACCGGAGCTGTGTCGTCGCAACACGGAGGCGACGTTAAACGGAGATTGTTTGTTCTTCTCTCACGGCTACTTCACACCGTGCACTTATCGCCCAGTGTGGACGTACCAAATGGCTACAGTTCACACGGCACGATTTCCATATGAAAGCGTTATGTTTAACTCGAGCACCTTTAGCGGCAACGTCTTTCACGGTCTGATTCCTTACGCGTTATGTTTGAGTTCGATTCCCATTTTGTGGTTAGGTGCTAATCAGTTTCAAGTAGAAAATAACAGCGAAACATGTTCATGTGAATTTGTCTTTGGAAATCAAGAGCGTCAGTTTTGAGCACCGTTATTAATGAAAACTAGCAGTTGAAATTTTTTTTGTATTAAATCTATTTATCTTTGAAATTAATCGCTGCTTTATACAGTGCGCCAGAAAAGTCTCACCGCAGGAGAACAAGTGACTGGAGAGAGTGCTAGCAATATAATGTATGTTGGTAGCCCAAAGTGCAGCTTGAAAAAACTGAAAACGTAAATTGCATACTCCCCACAATCATAGCAGATGTTGGAAATGTTGTCTCCTTTACTTGTTTCCCAATGGTATAGTTGCTACGGAAATGAATGCAATTGTCAGTAAGAACTGTATTCGTAATAGTCCCTACAGACATTCCTGACACACATTATCATGCATACTATTCTTAAGTTTGTTTTCATTACTTGAACAAGAATTTAAAAATTACATAAATAATGTTAAAATAGTTTCTTAGTACGATGTATATTCGGAAGCCGCAATTAATGTGTTAGTGGCATTTTGTGTTGTCTTACATAAATAGTACTGAACGTGTATTCAGAACTTACGCCTTCATCGACACCCATTTCAGCGTTTTTCTCAACTTCTTTAGGTTTACTGCACGAGAAAACGCTTCCCATGCAACACAGTAGAAGGGATGCGACATCTATGTCGATTTTTTTCAACCCATCGATGTTTTTCTAGAAAAATCGATTTTTTAAACATCGATATATTGACGTCGATGTTATTTTAACATTGTGTTTTGTAAACAACAAGTTTTTTTCTTTTCCGATGTATTGTTTCTGAATGAAAAATTCCCCAGATAACAATACCATAAAAGTGAAATATGACATACAACTGATGATAACACAGTTTCAAACCAAAATGACACTCTTTGTACTACTTTCAGGGACCAAACTCTCTTGAGATGACCTCCACGCCTTTGTACTTCTTCATATTTATATCGCGCATTGAGATATGGTTAACATGTGTGTTCTGCGGTCGAGATGTGGGCGTAAGATGTCTGGCGCTTCTCGTATCCTTATCCGACGAATCGATAATCACGAACAGTGTCAAATTAAATTTTAATGCACATGCATTTAAAGTTAGAGGTTATTAAACAGGTCTAAAACCATCGATGTTGAAAATCATCGATGGTTTTTAGTTGATGTGATCAAAAGTATCCGGACACGCAGCTGAAAATGACTTACCAGTTCATGGCGCCCTCCATCGGCAATGCTGGAATTCAGTAGGGTGTTGGCCCATCCTTAACCTTGATGACAGCTTCCACTCTCGCAAGCATACTTTCAATCAGGTGCTGGGAGGTTTCTTAGGGAATTGCAGCCCGTTCTTCACGGAGTGCTGCACTGAGGAGAGGTATCGATATACGTATGTCGGTAAGGAAGTCGCCGTTCCAAAATATCCCAAATATGTTCCATAGGATTCAAGTCAGGACTGTACAGGCCAGTCCATTACAGGGATGTTATAGTTGCGCAACCACTCCCCAACAGCCCGTGCAGTATGGACAGATGCTCGATCGTGTTGAAAGATGCAATCGCCATCCCCGAATTGCATTTAAACAGTGGGAAGCAAGAAGGTGTTTAAAACATCAACGTAGGCCTGTGCCGTGATAGTGCCACACAAAACAACAAGGGATGCAAGCCCTCTCCATGAAGAACAGGACCACACCATAACACCATTTTGGACGTGTCCGGGTACTTTTGATCACATAGTGTATTTTCAACATCGATGTTTTTATTTCGAACATCGATGTTTTGTTACCAACGTCCAATCACTAGGCGCCGCGCGCGCGTGCACGCACCTGCTCATGCTTCTTGAGGTAGGAGAGGCGCGGGAAGGCGCGCTCGCAGAACTGGCAGGCGTATGGCGTGCCCTCGGTGACGCCCAGCGTGAAGGTGAGCTCGGCGTCGGGCACGTCGGTGGCGGAGTTGGGCGTGGCGCACGAGCTGGGCGAGCGCGACGTCTGGTCGTCGGGCGTGTCGGAGCGCCACGACGAGCCCGGGTCGGTGCCCAGCGCGTCTGCAACAAGCCGCCGCACCGCCCACGTTTCAACGCTGGCCCCGCACCGCGCCGCCCGACCCAGTACCCTCCAGCGCACACCTCACCGGGAGGGGTCTCCCGTTTGCGATAACAGCTAGAAGGCAATATAGAATGCAGCCACTGTCTGGAGACGAAATACAGCAAACTGCTGTTCTGATCAACAGTTCAGTTCCCGGAGAGGTGGCTCAGGGCTTCACTGCCGTGCCTCTGATCGAGAAGTCCTACATTCGAGTCCCGATAGTGGCAGGATTTTCTACACTAGCTAGATAGCTAGGTTGAGGTCTGTCGCTACTTGGAGGAGAATTCTAGCAGCCGGCTGCTTTGATCTGTATTTTACGATATTTCTCCGACAAACATCAGGCGAATGCCGGAGCAGTTCCTTAACAAACGGGCCACGGACGTCGCGCGATATTTCCGCTCTCTTCCTTGTTATATCCAATCTCTTACTTACACTTACACGCATTACATTATCTCTCTTGTCAGGAGCTCACAGATTGTCCAGGCTGGGGAGGTGCCCCGCTGGTCGGAGATGCCTGGTTGAGTCAAACCCGATTCGCTAGCCGTCCGTAGGTCGGTGCAGGATCTCAATATCTAGCAGGGAAAGATCACTGCCACCTCCCGAACAAAAACATGCACTTACCAGACGAATGACCTAAACAGTTGACGCGCCCGAAATCACTAATCACTCAAACAATAAGGTTCTTTCAGGCGAAATTTCGGCGTTTTCTGACGCACGATTTCTCTGCATACGCAACTTTATCTTCTTACGAAGAATTCGTAAGGCGAGAAAGTAAAAAAGTGTTTCAGTGCCTTACCGGCAACTAGGTTTGCTTACTCGGCTTGCGACGCATTTCAGTTCGCACATAGGCTGGCGTATAGCCATAGGTGAATCAGCTGCCATATAGCCATAGAAGTGTGCCCGCCCCTTTGTCCCGGGACGGCCGGGAGGCTCCTAGAAGATGTCGGACTTCTGGATATCTGTAGTTTTCCGTGGTTTCTCCGATACAATTTTAGGTGAATGCCGAAGCAGTTCCTTAATAACGGGGCAGGGACCGCGAGCGATACCTCCTTCCTCACCTTTTCCCCCTTCACTACCGTTACACACACACACACATCCATATATCAACACGCACTACACTAACACGTATGTTGGAAGATCCGTCGGGAGCTTAGAGTTTGTCCCAGCTAGGCGGTGCCCCGCTGGCGGAGGTTCCTGGAGAAGCAATCCCCCCCCCACAAACTGACGTGTAGGTTGGTTTAGTCTCTCACACTCCTGCGCCGGTGGAAAATTGCCGCCTCCAGGGATACAACGTACTCTGCACTAACGGAACTTACGACCATAGTAGTTTGCGTGCTAAAAACCCGAATTAATCACAACTCGAGAGCAGTTTCATTAAAAACACGAGGTGCTACAGAATGGCACAGACTTTCTTGTAATAGAGTTTTCTAATTTCCATGGTGTAGATTGGCTTCACTGTCTTGCCTCATCCTCTTGCCAGCAGCCATCGATCGCCGCCCAAAGTACATTTCTTTGACATTTTCTCAATTTTTCGGGTTCTTCATGGTAGAATTGAAATATTGTTTTAATAACATTAAAAAAAGAGTAAAACATCGTCCTAAATGACAAATTTCCATTGAAAAATTTGAAACCATTTTTAAGAAAATGCCGTTTAAGCAGATTATACAGTTAATACAGATGCGAAATTTGAAGCTCATTTTCAGAGACAATATTTTCACAAACAACCCCAAAACATTATTTCTGTTGAAATCTTGAAATCAATTTTCAGCAGCATTACAATTCTTTCTCTATACTATGTATTATTATTCTATATATACGTATGTATACGGCAAACTAAAACACGTTAAACGTAAATAATATTAGGGACTTTTGGAATAAATAAAATATTCAACAGAGATTAATTTTGTATTTTTTTAGTGAATGTAGGAGTCTCTCGTCCAGCGTAAACGAACTAAACTTAACATTAGAATACCATCTCGGCACAATGACGAAGATTAGATCAATTGAAAATTAATAATTAATTCCTGAATATTCCTTCCCAACGCAAATCAAATCTTCTATGTAATTCATCACCGTTATTCCTGCAAAATATTAAAATCACTACAAAAAATCTGACAATTTATGGCCGCTAAATGCCACTGAATTTGTATAAATGGTCTACGTTTCTTGCTGTTGAGATTCCGTACACAACTAAGCACCATCATGAACCGAAGTTTTAGGCGCATTAACCATTCGACGCCGAGCCATCCGCTATTAAGTGAAACCATTCCCTAAAAACATTTGCGCGATGTGAGCAGAATTCGTTACGGTACCAGTGTCGGCTGTGCTTTGAATCACGGGAAGTTTCCGCTCTGACGACTTCCTAATTCTGGGCATCAGTGAACGGTTTGCGAGTCCCTCCGATTTTTCGTTGTGACAGGCGAAAAAATTTCGTTTTGTATTGTATAAACGGAGTTTAGCTCAATATAATTACGGAAAAGCAGAATACAGAAAACACAAAGCAGAGTACAAACAAGAAATGAGAGCTTTTTGAATTTGTAAGTTATATTAAAAAGCAGAGCAACTTTCAATCGGTTCAGACATGCATTATCCATTCTTACTATATGAGTTAGTACTGAATGTCTCCTTTTCCTATTTTCATGAGTGCCGAAAAAGACTAGTGCAATTGAACCCCCACCCTCTCTAATTGGCCACTTGACATGGCAGTGTGGTCCTAGAGAGGTAAAATTAATCATTAATATGTTTTGGGATAATTTAAACTACACCTTATCAATATCGGTCATATCATTATCCGATCGGTATATACTATTATAGGTTATACCAAAAGCTCTTATAAAATGAAAAGTTTTTTCGCAGCAGTCTTCTACTGTCCGTCATTACAGCCATCACTGAGTCCTAATAAACTCTGTCCCAAATTTATTCGGTTTTCTGTTGGTATTGAGAATGAAAATTGTTAGCTACGCTGTTGCAATATCTACCAGGGTACTAAGTGTATCAAAACGTATTTTTCTGCATGGTTACTTGGAACAGAAGTTGTCGTCACTGAATCTTTGACTTTTCATTTCTAATGACCTCATCCACCTTTATCTGGTCATCAGAAGTGATGTCTATTGAGGAATCTACTGAAACCATTACGCACACAAAAATGTAGTATTTGTTAATCAAAACTCTTCCATAAAAATCACTACTTTAAGGTACATCTTTGATCACTTGAGTGGAATATTTTTATATTTTTATATTTTTATTATTATTATTATTATTATTATTATTATTATTATTATTATTATTATTATTATTATTGTTTGACATGACAGAGTTATTTACAACTCGTAACATAAAATGAAATTACAGCATTGCATACAAACAATCACAATCTTCAAAGAGACGGAAAGTGTAGACTACCTTAGATCTTGTAGGCAGGCTTTATGCCAAATGGCAATCACTCATTTGCTTTAACTCAAGCTTCAGAAATCGCATCCACTTTTATATAGGTGCATTTCATTTGCGCTAAAATACCCATTTCGCATATTGGAAAGAAATGTTAAAATCACCAATTACATTTCAGCTAAACGGTTTAACGTCTACCAAAAAGCGATCAGATCAAAAGATTCTTCAAATGTCAACAGCATCCCATTAATATAATTCCACAGTAATTGACATTAGTCACTTTTCATTAAAATTAGCGCTGTTCTAGCAGAGACCGCAAGACGTAATGAAACTACTGGGGCTACGACAGATTATAGTTTCTTGCATTAGTTGTGACGGCTTTACAACTTTATGCTACTACACGAACTTGCAGTGTTTCCAATCAGGCAAATATTTTCTCCGTGCCGAGATTCGAATTCCGGTCCGTGGCGTTAACTCGCCAGGCGCTTTATCGCTACACCACTCGTCTCAAGAGCGTCCTCACTTTTGACGATGCTTAGAAAACGAATGACTTCTTCCATTATTTCCAACTTACGCACTTTTCGAAAATTCAGAGAGTTCAACGAAAATTTAACCTACGGCATTTTTAGGCGTACTTTGCTATATCCGTGAAAAAATAAAGAAAAAAACAGGTTTTACGAAAGTAATTAAGTATTGCCTACATTTCACCCAAAATTTCACGAAAACTACTCATTTTAGAAAACTTTTAGAAAAATTTATTTTTCTTTTATAAAGTTCTTATAAAGTACAAACATCTGTATCTTCAATATGAAGGCAGTAGGAAGATAACGAAAAAAAACAACCTTTACAATGCATGAAAAATTAGAGATTTCCACAGAAACTACCTGTTAACTACCTAAGCGTTCTTTACGCTATCACAGGGTGAAGTTCAATAAAAAAAATTGAGCCTTTTTGAGAATATTTCGGCAACGTTGATGAGAATTCATATTAAGCAGCCCTCAAAATCAAAAAATAAGATTCAAATTTGCAGGGCCTCGAGTTCATTTAGATTTAATTTAGGAAGAAATCTCTGAACGGCATAGGGTTAGGCGATTGTATTTGATCACAGACGTTTTGACGTCAATCGATCTTACCGAATCAAGGACCACCAAAACATATTCTAACTAAAACACGTGATGGAGGAAGTAATTTACTACATATGGAAAAATATTTACCTACTTTTTCAGTATCAGTATTTAGGAGTTTTACGAGAAAGTAAAAACACTGGTAGAGCGTTTTGTAAGAAGCGCTTGTTTCATTCTGTAATAACTTTATACTTCGTGTAGTATTCAGTACTTCTCACACGCCTCCAGTTAAATAAATCGAAGCCATAATAGCGGCAAATTAAGTTATTGTTGTAGGAACAATTCTCTCGTCACGTTAAGAGCGTGTATTATATACATAATGACATACGTGTAAGTGTCCAGGGATTTCATTATCAAGGCCCCACTATATCTTAATTAGGTCTGAGGGCATGAAACTATTTTTCTTCGCTCTCATAGAATAACCTTTCACTGACAACATATTAATTTGA